CCTTCAGTTCCAGCACTCAGTCTGTCTGTATTGAACTCTAGCTTCTTCTTTCCTTTATGCAGCACTGTCCTTTTGTTGCTTTGCCAGTACGTATCCTTTGCATCTTGACTTCTGATACTCAGACCTCTTGCACATAAGAAATCGCTTTGCTTGAATTGCATGATTTCCTGGTAAAAAATACCAAATGCTTTTTGCTGTTGAAACTTGATCTCTTTCTTCACCTACATAAAGATGGAAACCAGCATACTTTGGACAAGTCAAGAGATACTATAATGAAATGGGAAAGCTGCAGTAACACTCTTAATTCCCAGTGGCCATCAATTATTCTAAATCAAAATCTTCCCCCAGGCCACATGCTGAACATTTAACACCACCTAGAATAGAATTTAACCTTTCAAAATGCACTTTTTTCTTTCATATTAAAAAAAAAAAAAAAAAAAGAGGTTTTAGTAGATGCTGTCAAAGCTTAGCTGCATCCCAGAGGTTTTTCCCAATGGGTCACTTGGTACAGTTCCATGCACTGGTCATTGACTCATGGAACTCTTCCCTTCAGGTACCACTGACCACATACCTGTAACCCCAGAGAATCATTGACTCCTTCAAAAATACAGAAAATAAGAAATTTTTAAAGAAGCCCGCTTGCTTTTATCACTGTACTGCTGACTGGCAGGTAGAAGCAATCCTCTGTTCAAAAGCTTAGTGTTGCAAGATTTAGTGACTTCAAAACCTGATTCCTTGCCTGGGAAGGTGCTGCTGTCGGTCACCTTAAAATGATACTGAGAGTCTCAGAGAAATATATACAGATGTGTTTACTGTGGTGCCTGAAGAATACTGTAGTCCTCACTTACATGAGATCTTTTTCATTTGAACAAGAACTTAGTGAGAATTATCCTCAGTCTTTGCTGTGTCCCTCCAAATGAACACACAGGGGTAGACTATGCTAGCTAGCAGGTGACTGTTTAGTAAAAGTTACAATCCTGTTAGGAAGGGTTGCATGGGTACCTTCAAGGACATTAAATCTGACTGCAGTTTGTAAAAGACTGGAATAAGAAGGGATAACTGTCCTCCTTTTACATCTGCCATGTCTCTTTATCTCTCTGGTTTGCATTTCCTAGTTAAAAAATACATATTTAAACTGACATTTTTCAACATTATTTATTTTCAGCTATTGATCTCATAAATAATTTGTTGCAAGTGAAAATGAGAAAGCGCTACAGTGTGGACAAAACGTTAAGCCACCCGTGGTTACAGGTATTGCTACAAATCCATGGTTTTTTGTTATGCATTTAGTTTCTAAGTATGTAAAAAATTTCATCTTTAAGTACAGTAGAATCTAAGCAAATCTACAGACCTGAAGATGTTTTCAGATCCTGAGGACCATATCTTCCTTCACCAATTTACCTACAGATTCTTGTTAATTTCTTAAGTATTAGATTTCAATACTAAACTCTCTCATGTTTTCAGAATACACCACAAAAATATTTTGTTTGTCCACTGAGAACACGATGTATAAAAAACCCTCTCATTTGATGTACCTTATCTCATTGCCTGGAGTCCACCCCAATTCACTTCTTATTAAAACTAGTCAATAGGCTTTCACTTCACTGTCATCAGAAGAAATAATGAAGCTGTATGCTTTCTAGGAAAATACATTAGCCACCTTCAGTTGATATCTCCCATTAAAACCTGAAATGTTAGGAATTTTTTATATGCTAGCAGCCATTGTCTTCTGCTTGTCATACATTAATTTTTTGGTTCTGACAGCAGCCAAACCACTGCAAGTTAAAGACGTAAGATAGAGCCAGTGTAGTGAGCAGCCAGGACCTGTTCCACTGCCCCCAGCCAGAGAGCAGGGTAGGCTGCCTGCAGAGTGCCCCAGAACTGGGCACCTAGGACCCCTCCCTGGGGATGGGGACAGGCTGAGGCCAGGCTGGGACATCAGCCCATGGGATCTCCCAAAGGATTCACATCTGGGAAAGTAATTGTGGCAAAGGCATAGCACAGGTGAGATGCATAATCCACAATCCCAAAGGAAACTTTATTCAAACTGAAAACTGAGTCCTGCTCCAGTACTTTATGACCTGCTGGTATAGAGGAAAAGGGCTGCATCCTGCCACCCTGCAAACCTGCCTTCCCCAGGGACATTCTCTCTGGGCTTGCTTTTTAGCTCCTAGATTTCTTGTCACTCTCCAGTCTTCTTCCTGCTCTTATCCCTGATAATAATTGCAGAATGTATTTGTCTAAGACTTTGGAGACCTGAGAGGTGATCTGGGCTAAGATCTGCTGCAAGGGTGCTGGCTGTCTCACATGATGGGACAGAGTCCTTCACCTTTGTACGTCCACTTTTGTCACCATACAGTAGTGAGTGGGGGTAAGCTAAGGTGAGGCAGTACTGCATCAGCTCTAGCACCATGGATGAGTCCTTTTTCCCCAAGAGACCACCAGTGTGGGCTAAGAAAAGATAACAGCGGTGCGAGTAGAAGTGAATTCTGAGAGGATGTCTGTGTTTGAAGTAGGCCAAAGCATGTGAGATATGAGAATGAAGGCTTTAATGCATTTACAGTGTGGGGGCTTTCTGGTGCTATGGCTAGGTGACCAGGGTTATGTCTAAGGTTGAGACAGAGTGAAGGAGAAAAAAAGAAAAATGGATTCAGGATTGTGAGCTGAGGCTAGTCTGCATGGGGCTAGGATTGGCTTTATTACTACAGCTTCATTTACACTTTGGGTGGGAATAAAAAATTAAATATTAAACTTGAGATATACCTTAGGCAGATGACAGGCTGCAGAGCATGATGGTCTAAACAGTGTGAGAACCAAACCAGTTTCCAGCTTTACTGTTGAGTATCACGGATTTCCAAAGTACCTTGATGTTTTACATTAATAAGTCTCTTTGAGCATGACAGTAATTGCATAAATTTGGAAAAGCAGATCTTTTCTAGCTCAAGCTAAGTTCACATTCCGATAGAGATCAACTGTCTTCACTATCTGATAAAGATCACTAGGATGTACATGCATGATACAGATCTTCTTCCCCATTCACCTTGTGACTAGTGCCAGGAATTGTTTTACACCCATGTCTCACTTAGATATGGAAATCTGTAGACTATCCATACAGTTTGCAAAACTACCAGTAACATTTCCATGTATACTATATATACTTAAGACAGAAGTTAATAAAATTTATAGAACAACCCTCTAGATTGAGAAAACATATCTCTATAGGCAGATTTCATATTTATTAATTATAAGACTTTCTCATTCTGGAGTAATAAGAATACATGATCTTTAGATTGCAGAGTTAATAGCACTTTGCATAATCTTGATAGGGAACATAATTTATTTCAGGAAATTTAAAACTATTGATGTTACTCTGTTTCAGGACTATCAAACCTGGTTAGATTTAAGGGAACTTGAATGTAAAATGGGGGAACGTTACATCACCCATGAAAGTGATGACTCCCGATGGGAACAGTATTCAGGAGAACATGGTTTGCACTATCCAGCACACCTTATCAGTCCACGTGCTAACCATAATGAAAACACCAAGCTAGAAGAAACAGAAATGAAAGCCCTCAGTGAGCGTGTCAGCATCCTTTAAGTTGTATCCCCTCTAATCTGTCAAAACACTGTGGAATTAATAAATACATACGGTCAGGTTTAACGTTTGCCTTGCAGAACTGCCATTATTTTCTGTCAGATGGGAACAAAGCTGTTATGCTGTTACACTGTTGATGTATCTGAGTTGCCAAGACAAATCAACAGAAACATTTTTGTGTGACCAACTGTGTTGTATTTACAAAAGTTCCCAGAAACACTAAACTTGTTATTGTGAATGATTCATGTTGTATTTAGTGTATTAAAACCTGTCTCCACAGTGCCTTTGCAAGCTAGTGTTTTTCTTACTTGAGACTCATTTTGGTAAGAGAGAACTTTCCCATGAGGATCTGGGTTTTTTTGTGCATCGTTAGTATTGTAAGCAAACTCTTGAAGAGTAGATTATAACTGCTGTTCTGTGAACAACTACTACTTTTGATAAAAGCTTTATTTAGTGTTGAAAAAATAGAAGCAAAAAATAATTAATTGCATAGCACTGTACAGTTTCAAATCAGATAACTTGTGTGTATATGTTTGTGTGTTTGTGTATGTAGATACACACACATACATTGCACACAGTATAACTTGCTTTTAAGCCTAAATGCCTTAGTAATGTAAACTGCAGCATGTCCTTTGTATTTCTCCTTTTCTTAAAATATTCTTCTCTAATATGAATATTCTCTGAAATGTACATTCAGAAGCTAAATAACTTGTTGACTTTGTGTATGTTTTCAATAAAAATCTTGTTAAAATTGGTTAATTTGTTTAATCTTTCTGTTTAAAATATCCCTGGAATGGCAGCAGGAGTAGGTGGAGTAATTTAGTTCAGCATTAAGAAGCCTGTGTAGAGGTAGGTAGGAAAATGCTGCCAGCTAACCTGTGTACCTATAAAACATATTTGTAAGAACCTACTTGGACTGATTTTATATCAGAAGTTCAATTGATTCTGAAACATACTGGGGCAGTGGGGGAGTTGAGGGCACATTAATGGGGATTTAGAAGTGTGCTGCTTCTGCTTTTCCACTGACTTCCATTGAATTGACAGGGTAATATGGATCTCTCCTGAAAAGTTTAAAGATACTAATTTTCATTTCTAATTATTGCTTAGTATTACTTAATATTAGTTAAACTCTGAGAGGGGTTCAGGCTGCACTGTAAAACATGTTCCAGCGTAACTCAGTGACAAGCTGAAAAATATGCCACAGGCTGTCTCTGAAAAAAAACTAGGTATTGAAGGCTGCGGTTAAGAAAGAAAAGATACATGGGATGAAAGGCAGAAGTATGCAATGATAAGAGCTTATCACTTATGGTAAACCTCTACTGATCAAATCTTGGCTTTATGTTACAATTATCAGCTTTTTGGTAGGTAAAGCCATTCTTCCGTCGAAGAAGAGTTTTGTCCAGAAGAAATATGACAGATACATAACATTACCAAGGCCGTCAGAATTGTTCTTAGGTATTTTGCACTCCTACTGGTCAGACAGTGTGTAATGTAAAAATAAATTAAGAAAAAGCACTTTTATTCAAATGTGAGGGGGGAGTATTTTATAGAAAATTAGAAAGTATTGTAAAAAAATTACTCATCTCCTCCCACCTTTTTCTGCTGCTCCTACTGCCAAAAAAAGAAATCATTTTCAACATGAGCTGGACGCTGAAGGAAGCTCTCTGATAACACTGGCCTTGTAACATGTTCTGAAACAGTTGTGGTTGAGTAGAGTTCAAATGTGTTAACTACTCTGCCATGCTGTGCTGTCTGTATTTTCAGTTGGGAGATTCCTACAAGGCTAAATTTGGCTAATCATTTTTTCTTTTTCATTCAGTCTTAATCTTGAATCAGCTGTAAAATAAACATAAAAATGATCTCAAGCTGATTATCAGATTTCTGTCAGTAAAAGTGTATGTGTGTATATATTTAAAAGCAAGTCCACTTAAAGGTGCAGTGATGGACTCACCGGTAAAGATTATATTCTGTTCTTCAACAGCTCCAGGAGTCAAGCCAAATTAACTGGTTTTTCTAAAAGGAAACTGAGGGGAATTACTAGAATCATATAAACTTTGTTCAGATGCTGCTATCATGACTTTGTAAGGAGCCGTGACCTCACAGAAGTGCGTTAATTTTGTTGCCTCATTCCTCAACGTTAACCAGTAACAGAGGTTGAGAGCTCAGCTTTCATTCTGATCAGTTTAAGTGAGTCGGGATTTTAATAGTGGTTTGATTTAATTTACAGTTAGTGTAGCAATGCTTGAGCACAGGTAATTTTCAACAGCACAGTTAAATTCTCAATATCAAATAGCGTTCTGGCACTCTGTTCTCAAGCATGGATGCTAGTCAGGAGATTAAAAAAGCAAGCATCTTTGCAACATGCCACAGCATGTCTAAGAAGCTGGGTGACAAAATTAAAAACAGCGCAACTTTTAACGAAGGAAGGACATTGAGTACTTGCACTAAACCCCATCATCTGCTATTTCTACCATAGCAATGCTTAGAATGCATAAGGGTTTGCTAAGCACAGATCTATGTTGATAAACATATATAATCTCATGAAGCACTTCTGATGAACTGTTTGCCAACAGAGCATAGACAAAAGTATAAATAAATTACTACTCTGAGAAACTTTCTGACTAGCTACTAAACATAATTTCAAAGGAACTCTTGTTTTATTAGGGGTGTATTATACTTTTTTCCTCCCCGTGCCTGTTTTTTTTTTGAGCGCTGAAGCTTGCTTCATCACTTTAAAGAACTTGCTGTGCAAATAGTCATTGCTTTTCAAAAAGAATCTGCCATTAGTCAATATAATAAATTAAAATTTTCCCTGCTGCCGTTCAAAAATGTTGCACTGTGAAATCTGAACTGTTTGCAGCTCAGCCAGACCAATGAAGACAGATGAATTCACTGATTCCTAACTCAAAGCCTAAACGGAAACTTGCTCTTCCAGATACATCGGCATCAAAGTGTACTGAAGCAAATCTGGGATTATATTGTCCTACATGATTTTCCTTTGCTCATATTACTCAGGAAAAAGGAATGGTAGGCTGCTCTGTAGCAATGTTTCCATGGACTTTACATTTTCCATTAGGCAAACAGTTCCTGCACATGCGTCATGGAAACAAAACCAGCAGTGGTTACACTGCACATAAGTATTGACCTGAGGATCTATTGGTAGTATTTCCTTTTCTCATGAGATACTGTATATCATCTGCATATCAAGGACGTGTACACATAATCATACATCTATAGACATGTTCATTGTGTCAGAACAGCTGGGGAGAGCAGACAAGTAGCCAACACATACTTGGAAGCTAGAACTTCTGATTTATGTTAAGTTGCCATTTTCACTTCTACCATCTTTTTTATTCATTCAGATACACTTTCTTAATTCAGTGTATTGTCCAGGCAGTCTAACTAATTCAGCAAACAAGGTAAGCAAAAAGCATGCGCTTGACTCAACTTGTGCAGCTCAATTGTCACACAGCTGCTGAGCCATGTGTGACCATCTATAGGAGGGGAATTCCTGTCAGTGGGTCTTGTCTCCCAGTGTCTCAGATTCTACATCAGACCTCCTTGTTCTCAGCTTAGCAGGATTTCTCCAAAACTAGTTGGATATTTTGCCTTCCCTTTCTTCGTCTCTCCTCTTTCCTTCTACACCTCACTAGTGAAAAGCCTTCCTGAAGTCTCACCTCTCTGGTGATTAGAAATTTGTAAATCCTGGCCTCATGGCGAGGCAAAAACCGTCTGCAGTTTTTTGTGTCAGCAACAGTCTATTATTCTTTGAGAAGTTAAAGAAACAGGTTATTTATTTTACATTATTAGATAAGTCGACACCTCTTCTGCACTCCTGAATTTATCCTGGTGGTGTGGTCTCAAAACCAGGACACCTGGACAATGAAGTCACAGAGGTGATGTGGAAATGCATAATAAGCTGAAAAAAAAAACCCAAATCCTTACTGGAATAATGGGAACAGCTACTTGGCATCTTGTGAATTTAGGGAGAAAATAAAAAAAAAAAAAAAAAAAAGAAAACTCCAAAGGAAATTTTCAAAATGAACCACTAGGCAAGTTAACCCACATATACTACTTCAGTCCCTAAATCATGGGGACAAATCAGAGTTGAGTAGCTATGCGTTATGGTGCAGTATTATTTGGATAGGTCTACTAAAATGTTGATATCTTGGGAAAGTTCTGCTTTATGCAGATAAACCAGAGCCTGGTCCTTGTAGCTGTTTAGCACCCAAACCTTGCTCAGCTTATCACTTTCACTGAGATAATTTTTTTCTTTGTTTCTCTAAAAAGATAGACTATAATTCATGCTAGCAGCAAAGGAGGCCAGTCACCCCGTCACACACTGTACTGGCCACCTTCTACCTCATGACCAGACCTATGCCATCTGAACCAAAAGTCTCGTATTCCTGGGGTTTACCGTGCATGTGCCAGATGGGAAAGAGCTCAACCAAATCAAATGTAAGCCAGAGTAACTGTATTTGTAGATCAGGTACTTTTCAGTGGTGACAAATTTGACACCTGAATGAGATACAGAGTTTTGCCTTGCTCTTTGCTTAGTTCTTTCCTAGCAGCTGAAGCAAATGAATAATGAAATCAGCCTCTACTGGGTGAGCTAATATTTGTGTGTGCTTCTTCCTGAATCTTTGCTTGCTTGGGTGAAGGACACTATAAGAAGTGTAAACTATTTTGCTGCCTCACTAGGCACATCTACAAATCCCATGAAATTGAATGTTTTGATTGGGCATCCAAGCACTAAGAACCTGCACTCTAGGGCGTCTATCTCTGCTGTGATCCTGGAGAGCCTGAGGCCTCAAGCTGCAGAAATCTGCCAGGCAGGGTGCCAACCAGGAGAGCTATAAGGAAAATGGGCATAATGAAAAGCCTTTAAGGCAAATACTGAAATCTGTAAGCACGTGTGCGCTGCCAAAGTTTGACAAAATTTGGCAGATTCTGTTGAACTATTTCTATTCAGGCAAACTATTTTCCAATATGAGCTTATGATACATTTGCCAACTATAACTTAAATAGTTTCCTATATAACTTCCAAAATGAATAGTGACTTACTGGTGATGACCTCTTACACTTTTAATGGGAACTGATTTTTTAGAAAGTCCTAATAATTACCCTTTGAAAAGCAAATAGTTCATTCTGGTTCCTCTGTTGACATAAGCACACAAAAACATGAGTTAATTTTGAGCAGTTAGGTCACTAAATTTAATAAGTGGAAAGTGCACTGACATTCTTAAGAAAAAATAAAATTTGACTTGAGGGACCTGGCTCATATTTACCAAGTAAACAGCTGCAGCACTTTAAGATGTTACTGTCTCAGCCCCCAGCTGTTTGTTACTGGCCTAAAATAGAACATTTCAGCTTGTCTAGTTGACGCTGAAAAGCACAATTTTAATCTTAATCTTTAAATTAATTTGCCTGACTGTATATTAGAGCCATGATGCTCCATTCTGCCAGCCCTGCCACTGGGAGACATATGGAAAAAGGGCAGGAGGAAGAGTGAGGGCACTGCATTATTATAGCCACGTGTGCCAGAAGTCATGGGTCAGAGTCCTTAACTGCATTTCTCAAGAGGGAATTTTGAGCTTATAATTCCTGAGGATTTCTGGGTGTCTTGGATTTCTGATTCCTTATGAAGTAGGATTTAAACTCAGTGCCTGATTAAGGACTGCTGCGGTTTCTAACCCTGTCACTTTTGGTCATGGCATTGTATTGCTAGCTCTGCTCACCACAGTTGATCACTACAGGTGTTAAGAATAGGAATCCTAGTAAAAACAGTAATTAAGGTGATGTTAAAAACCCATGCTCATGTAAAATACATATATCTACAGATGTTATTCTTTAATCCATTAAAAGGAAGCACGTTCAAATGAATGAGTATTCAAGAATATTCATAGCGCAAAGTGGTGAAAAGTTAGAGTAGGTATTTGGCTCAGAGCATCTGACTGGAAAACCTCTAATAGGCAAAAGGAGATCTACTAGTAGAAAAAGAATGACTGAAGGCTTTCACAGGGAAATAAGGAGCTCTTAATAAGTAGGACATTTTATGTTCCTGGGCTGAACTTGACTTTACCTTAATCTAATGGGAAGTTTTGTACATCAAATTTCCATCCAGAAAACGGGTCAATTCAAGATTAACTGCTTTGAGTCTGATAATGGCGTTTTCATATTCACTGTGGCCTGAAAACAGCCTCCCTTGTCTAAAAACATTGCATTTGTTTATATATGCATATATATTAATAGGAAGTTGGAAGAGTTCCTATGAAACAAGAAAAGTGTCATCAGAAAATGTGTATTTAAAATTGAAATACCCCTTCTTGTTCTCAGAACTCAGTAAAACATGAAGAAAAAAAATCACACGCTGTTGGTTTTCAAGGTCAATCTCTTGATTGAAGTTGTAGAATCCATACTTAGAAACTGGAACAACCACAAAGCAAAACTGCTAGGTATCCAGAATACTGTTCCCCTTTTTGAAACTATTGCCATGCACAATTCTAACTTTTCTAAGAATTTATGACTATTAGCCACTTGTCTGTGAGAAAGTAGGCAAACACAACTGTTCATGCTGCACAGCTTGGGGAACACAGGTTTAAATATGTGAACTGGATTGCTCAAAACAAGCTCAAAATACAAAAAAAACCTCAGCCACAAACGCACTCTCAAAACAAGAGCACCTTCACAGCCAGACAATATTCTGATGTATCTTAGGTTTTATATGGAATTAATGACATTTAGAACATCCAACATTCAAAAATATGCAGGAATGTACAATATTCTCAGTCAGCCCCTCATTAGGTTTCTATATTTAACTCTATTTGTAGATGGCAAACTGGCAAGGAAAGTAAATGAATGACTTGAGAGCAGAGAGCAATAATCTGAACCCAAAGCCAATAAAAGGCATGCATACTACATGATGCTTTCCTCACCTTTCCAGGCCAGTTTGGATGCATCCAAAGATTATGCACCCTTAAATGGGATGTTCTGTGGGAGGTAAAGGCTACACTGTGTGTGTGTGAAGTGGGAGCTGCAATCCGTTTACAAAGAAATATTTTTGTCAGACATTTAAAGAACTTGTAAATACAGAGTTCCTGCAGCTACAACCACAGGTGCCTCAGAGTTGCAGTGTCTGCATGCCAGCTGCTGGGTAAAGACACATCCCCTGAAGTCCTTGTAACAAGCAGTACCTAGACATGGCAGGTCCCTGGGTTTCCAAGCTCGTTCAGCACAAATCTCTTAGTATGTTGCTAAGAAAGTACTATGACAAAGTAGGATATAGTTTAATAGTACATGACATAAAACTGCACCTGTGAATCTCCTTTCCCTGTGCAATATGTGGAGCACCTCCCAATCAGTATTGAGAAAACAATGTTGCAGATCAGTGTAATAAAAATGCATATATGAATAAGCTAGTGTGTCACAGATGCATGATAGCACTTAAATCCTTCCTAGTGCTATATTAAAGAAAGCATGGTTGCATGACACAATTTACTCTTCTGATCAAGAGGGTAGAGGTGTCAGTGACTGTACTAGGACTATGATTTCTTCTGCTTCTTGTTTCACAGTCTGCCAGTCAAAACTGGCCTTGCCTGTCCCTGGAAGCGTCTTGTAGCTGATGGTTCAGTGTCTGGGGCAGGGAACACCCTCTGCCCTTCCATTTAAAAGCCTCAAGGCCCTTTGCCCTTGCACAAGCCTTTGCAGGCACTCAGTTACTTTTGCATCTCACAGACCTCTGGATCCAGATTTACTGCAGATTGTTAGTATTGCAGTATTGCAATGCTTTTGCTCAAAAGGAGGCTGAGGAGGCTTCCGGACAGAAGGAAGAAGATTGCCTAACAACCCTTCCACTCTTACAACAGACAGCCTATGAAGATAAGACCTGCTTGCCTCTGAGGAAGGAGACAACAGAATAGGAAGGTTAGGTAGTGCAGATTGTACAGAACTAAGTATCATAAATACTGCAGTATTTTTCATGCTTAGTAACTCTTATCACAGATATTTAAAATGATGGTCTGCATACTCCATGTCTAATTTGTTTTGCACAGACTTAGTCATGTATTCATAGCCTTAAGGGTAATGAAATTATTAATTTATTACTACTAATCCTCTCTCAAGATTTGTACTCTTTTTTTGGCTAAGCTGGTGTTTATTACAAGTGAAATCTTGTTGGCACAGCCCCTAGAGTAGACCTGTTTATATAAGCACAAAAGTCTCTTATAGCTGTAGAGGTTAAATACAGAAATGAGTATACAATTATGATTAGATCCATACAATAATATCATGTTAACTAAATTCACAGACTAAATTCACATAAGTAGCACAGCTTCCCTGTTCAGACAAAGCCTTAGCTTTCCTTTTCAGCTCACTTTGCCAAGTAGCTACCATCATTTTATGTTGTGGACATTCATGTGTTTGCCTGAAACCACCAAAGTTATCTCTTTTTAGCCAAGTGGAGAGTTATTACCATCCTAGATTGAAAACAAAACAATGGTCAAAGACAAAAACACCAGGGTACTGCTAATTTTCTGAGCCATCCAGTAACCAGACCTTTTGTTGTCTGATTTGCATAACTGGGAAACAAGGGATGGTGTGATTTTAGTCCACTCCCAATATCTTTTTCATACTTTTGTTTTTTATAGTAGATACTTGTTAACAACTTCTGATTTCAAACTCAGCACAGACT